CTCCAGAGTGTTGTTCAGCATGGGGGTGAGTAGAAAAGGAAGGCTAATCATGTTTTGGGTGTACTATTCCTTTAACAGAGCTGTTTTTAATTATATTGTGTTTGATGGATGCAGTGACACACTGCATCGCTTTCCCATTTTTATGAGCCGTTATGATCTACTGTTTACTATATTAGCTAGAGCTAATACCATTAACTGAATCTTACATAAAATCTAAATCAAATCGGAAGATAATGAACAATTGTTAAAAGGGACAGTGAAGCATCTTTCAGTCTTTGCAATACATTATTCTAATATCTGAGAAAACTTTTTTACACATATGTTAACCATAAACAGCCTGGAGCTCGTAGTAGCATAACTCAACATCTGGGTTAGCATCGCTACCAATAGCAGCACAAACCAACTTCTTTGATCAACTCTCCCCTCTTCCTTCTCTGGTGATTTCTACATTTTCCTCATTTCAAGATCCTCTGGTTCGAAAGGTTTAACTTTACTCATTAATACTTTGGCTGGACAGAGCTGGGACTACAGGACCTAACATAGGTTAGTTACCCAGAATGCATTGCATTATAAGCAATAAGATGACATCTGTGTGACAATATTTTATTTAAATTTGTTAAAACTCAACAGTGTACAGTACATTTTTATTGCTTTTATTTTATTGTTTTTACATAAAACAATTTCTTAAATAAAGCCTATTATTACAACTAATCCTTTGAAGGTTGATACCATGTCTAACTGATCCCTGATATGTGCTGCCAGATGTTTGGGGGCTTATTTGTAAAGATTTGCTTTCTCTTCCTCCATTTACAGGATAGAAATTAGACTATTATTACCTCTGTTAAGGAGGTTTTGTTTTTAGTGGAGTTTGTGTGTCTGTCTATCTATGTACAGGATAACTTGAAAGTTCTGAACAGATTTTAATTATATTTTTACCAAAGAAGCACCTCAGTCCAAAGAACAATCCAATAATATTTGGAACTTTTAAAAAGGATTCTTTAATATTATTTGGCGGGACAAGCAGTTCCCCCCCTAAACCAGATCTTGTCAGTAGTGAATATTGACAGCTGCAGCATCAGATTTAAAAAAATCCAGAAGTGTTATGCTGACGGCAATACAAGAAAAGTGAGTGACTGAAGAAGGTGAGAGCAGAACAAACACCAGAGGCTGCAGACACATGCTGTGCCTTATTTATAAACTTATGACAGGATTTCAAGGAAATTGTTACCTACGGGGCACCTCATCCCTAGGAACAATTCATATTTGCTATAGGTGTAAGTCATAATAAGAGGAAAATTTTGCTGCTTGGTAGAGGTCTGCACCCCCTAAGTGTGTTACTAGTTACAAGATTACGCAAATCTTGATTTAAACAAACAAAAAAAACTCATTAACAAGCAATCAAAAGCATGAGCTTCACCTAATCTCAAGGCAAGGCTGCTGAATGCACTAATGAATCAGCAAATGTGTGCATGGATCAGCTGAAACCAATACAAAAACAACAGGAACGAGACAATATCGGCTATCTCTAAAGAAAATTATAAAAAGTGACCAGCCAGCCCTTCTTCATGAAGCTGCTCTTAGGCTCTGGATCCCAGTTTTATGTTTAATAAATCCCAGTTTATTCTCTGGTTTGAATCATTTTAGGCTTAAATTTTTTTAATACCAGGAACAAAGCTGCCCTGCAACAGGTCCCGTCACCAGGAACGTTTATAAGAAGGTTGATTTTTATTTATTTTATTTTATCTGTTTTACGTTCATTCTAACCAGGAAAAAAAGGTAGATAAACCATAAAAAAAATACTGTGGGTAAAAAAAAAAACTCATTCAATCAATAAGAAGCCTAATTCGATGTAAATAGAGGGGGTACTGTCTTCTGTTTTCTTCATAGAGCTCAGTGTTTTCAGCTCTTCTCTTCACATAACCAAGCAGGCTTGTTTATTTTCTCCAGACACATCTGTGGTCGTCATCTCACACGGCTGCGGTGAGGTGACTGCATGTCATGATTTAATAATCCTCTTTAATCAATATGCCGTCCAGACCACCTGACACAGCAGGGGTTGTCTTGGCACAGGTGTTGTTGAAGCTTCTGATGAAGGTCACTCTGATTTGCAAACAGAAGTAGGACTCAGGAGGCAAAGGCAACATCTGCAGCGCTGCTGCATTGCTCCTCTTGGTTTCTCACAGAATCTTTTGTTCTTAAATAAGAATGGAATAAACAGTGAAGAACACATCTGTCTATGATGAGTCCACTCGATGACGATGGGACTGAGAACCTGATTTTTATGATCTATTGACGTGTGTGTATCCTGTCTTTAGGTCCCTTGTGATCATCAGTACCCTGGATGGGCGGATCTCTGCGCTGGATCCTCACAACCAGGGCAGGAAGCAGTGGGACCTGGATGTTGGCTCAGGATGCTTGGTGTCCTCCAGCCTCAGCAAACCTGAGGTAGAATCAAATTGAATATTACTCATTTAAACCAAAAGGCAGCATAAAATGTGGATTCCCATCATTTATGTTGATACAGATACAAACGTTCTGTTTTAAAAATGTTAAATATTTAGTTTTTGATACACTGCCATCTAGAAGTATTCAAACCACTTCAGCTATGTCATTTCATAATTATTTTGGTCAATATTGATATTGATAGTTTAAAACAAATGAAATTCAGCAAACGATTATTTTAAACTTTCATCTTCTTTGTATGAAATCACCTGAAACAGAATACACATCAAGTAGACAGTGCTTAAGTTTTAAGTGCAGTGATTTATTTATAATGTCAGTGTTGTGATAAGGATATCAGGCTGTGCTGCTGTGGGATACCTTCAGTCTGGAAGCTGAGGAAAGGAGTCTGGATCAGCTGAGGGGCGGCAGCACATCAGACCCCGCTGCTCATTAGGGAGAGGTAGAACGATTCCTCCTGTGAGTCTCCGAAAGTTTCCAGTAATGATAGAACTGTTACTAGCTCCATATTGTTTTGGTATATAATTCACAATTCCTTTGAATTCTATAATTCACAGTGGAGCAGTTGGTAGCACTGCAGCAAGAAGGTTCAGGGTTCGATTCCCGGATCAGGGACTTTCTGCCTGGAGTTTGCATTTTCTCCCTCTGCATGTGTGGGTTTTCTCCGGGTACTCCGGCTTTCTGCCTCAGTCCAAACACATGCTTCTCTAAATTCTTCTTAGGTGTGAGTGTGTGGTTTTGTGTCTTTGCGTGTCTCTGTTGCCCTGTGATGGACTGGTTACTTGTTCAGGTTGTGCCCTGCCTCTCACCCATTGTCAGCTGAAGATGGGCACCAGCACCCCTCGCAACCCCAGCAGGGTTAAGCGTGATGGAAAATGGATGGATTGATTCCAATTCCAATAAAATGTATTAAAGAGTAGAGTTAGAGTGGTGAGACATTTCAGGAATGAATATCTTTACACTCTTTACTGCCCAACATGAAATAAAACAACTTTCTCAAAAAGCATTAAAAATGTCTTGTTTTTAACCCATTATGAGGAAGTTGAACCAGCCTTTTACCTGCATTCTCTCCGAAAACAGTCACTTGTTTCTGCTTTCTTCATGTTTACTGTCTGTAGACCTTCAGACCAATATTTGAACTCTGTGCACTTTGAATAGACGGATTCTGTTGCTGACATCTAGCCAACATGCACATATTCCCGGTGAATGCGCACCAGCCTCGCTCTTCACCCCCACATGAATCTGAGAAGAGTTGATTCGCCTGGAGGATGAGCCTGTTTTGTTGACTGTAGCGATTTATGCGTACAAGCACAACAAGACCCTCGCTTTTACATGTATACAGAAGCTTAAAACACCCACACTGACATGGAGAAAGCCAAGTGAGCCTCGCAGCGAGACAAGAGCGCTGCATGCAGAGATACATGCTAGAGACATGCTCTCGGTCGGCTTTGATGTGGACTCGCTCTGTCTGAGCATTTTGCCTCCGGGGGAAGAGCTTCTAATATTAACAAGGGTCGGGTGGCTTCTTAGATCAGTTTAATGCTGGTCTGCTGGTGGGGAGTGCTTGGATCTGAGGAACACGCCTGTCTTATTTGTACAGCAATACAAACCAGCCTCAGATTATTGACCAAGTTCTGCACATTTGACGAATGGATTTTCCCCTAAAAGGCCTGACTTCTCATGTTGGTTTTTGTTTTTTTGTAAAAGTAGTTGTTTAACCCGAGGTTCCTATGCAGTTTGAAAAGAAGAATTTGATCCAAGTATTCACTAAATGTGGACAATTAAAGAAAAAAATTAAATTACAGAACAAGGTATTCTGTTGTCTTTACTGTCATTTTACAGTTGTTGTTCCTTCTTTATGTTATTTTTTTATTTCCTTGTATCCTTCCCTTATTCCTTATGAGCACCATTCTTCCTTTATTGTCCTTTACGACATTTTTTTAGGGTAAGATTGTAATCATCAACCTATTCATTAGTGCGTTCAGCAGCCATGCCTCCATCCATATGCTATCCTTTAATGTTTCGTTTGATTTGTTTTTGTAAATGTTCTTTTTTAACATTTTTTTTTTGTTGTTTTTTCATCTTTATCATTTAAATGTAGAAAAGAAAATATTGGACAGGCTTTATTATTATTTTTATGGATTACATTCTCCTCACTTGGGGGGGCGAGCTTCCCAAGTGAGAAGCTAAGATGCATTTCTATCGGTCTGCGCGGACAAGAGCAGCAACATATTTATTGGTCAATGTGCGCATCAAGAGAGAGTGCTGTGAAGAATGCAATTTATAAAATTCTATCTAAAAAATAGAAATGTAAAAAATAAGATGTGAAAATATGGATTTGTAAAATATGATAAAAAATAAAAATAAAAATTAAGGGAAAAAAATATGAAAAAAAATCTAAATTGACATCTGAGATACGATCAAAACCTTTTTTTTTAAAATAGGACATTTTTTAGGATTTTTTTTTTTTATTATTGTTTTCATTTATAAAACTCATTCTTCACTTCTAACAATACTGGAACAAAATGCACTCCCTACTTTTTTATTATGTTTAAGTCTCCAGAAAAGTAGAGTTTGGAAAAAGTGTGAAATGATTTACATAAAACACAGCTGGAGTGAAGCTGATGGGTCTTTTAAGGATTTTGACTCTGAACTGTATGCATTGACCTGAAAGATAAAAACAGTGTGCACCTTTCCTTTTAAGGTTATAGATCTAAGTTTTAAAACTAATTCTATAAAAAATAATTTTAAATATCGGCTATCTATTTATCTGTACAAATACAAAAGAAAATAATTACCTTGAACTATTCCAATGTCCCCACTGCAGTAGTTGGTGATGGCACCATGCTGTGCAGGTTCCTGCCTTCAGCTGGGATTAGGAAACTGGAGAGATTTCAGAAAGGTGGATGAAACTAAACTAGTGCAATCTAAAGATCTGACCTTCGCTTACAAAGATGATGTGGAATGTTTTAGATAAAACTGTATCCACTAGTTGAAATGGCCTAGTCAAAGGCCAGACATAAATCCAATTAAGAATCATAGTTTTAACTAGTCATATAAGGTTTATGATTTGGTCCATGTAGGAGCGTTCAGGTCTAGAGGATGAAATGAAGTAAATGGGTTTAATAAAGGAGGAGATTTAAATTAACTCTGCTCAGAGTGAAGTTTCATCTATAGTCACTAACTAATGCTCCATCTGAGCTCTGAACCCGTTAACCTGCTGTGGTGTCACTTCTTACGATCCTCACAGTGTGTGTAATGTGTGTGTGTGTGTGTGTGTTTGTGTCGGTGGAGCTGTGCTTTATATAAGCTTAAATCCTTCCCTACACATTGCAGCTTCTATAACCTGGGATGACTGTCTGCTGCGTGTGCTTTACTCCCTTTATTTTTGTGGGGGGTGCAGTTTTGCCTCCAGCCTTTTCCTCCTCTGCATCCTTCAGCCCCCCTTTCTCACTGAGAGCTTAGCAACAGTTTGATTGGTGCTCGCCGGGTCCCTCAGACACCAGTCTGCTCAGTGATCGGAGGCTGGAGGGGGTCCGCTGTCATGCTATTGGCTAGCCTCAACATGCCAGGGCGGAAGCAGCCAGTCACCTGCTCCATCCTGCAGAGTGTGTCACTTTTTTTTTTCTTCTTGCAGTAAAACATGGGACAACAGGGGCACAAACCGCATTGTCTGCAGAAAAAGGAGCAAAAACAGGAGATGCTCCGGGGCGTCAGAGGGGGTTGAAGGGCATCTGCGTGTGTTTGATCTGAATGAGCTGATCACTGGTGACTCATACTGGTGGGGCGGGGCTTAAAGGATGGACTTAGTGTGTGTTTTGGTGGGGGGGGGATTAGAGGAGGTGAGGTAATGCTTTCAAATAGAGATGATGTCATCACATAATAGACAGCGAACACTTTATATACATCTGCTGTCATGCAGTGTGAAAGACTTGAGCCTGACTGATGGTTACACTAGGACTAATGCTTGATTGGCTCCCTGGTCCTAATGGGAAAAGCAATAATTCTCCCAGCAGACTGAGAAAAAGGAAACAGCCAGCTCGGCAGTATTTTTAGTAGTTTTGTTTTTTCGATTTAAAACACAGTCCTTTTTCTACCCATTCTTCGCCTCTGCAGCACAGTTAAGGTAAAACTGTTTGACAAGATCGCTGGAGCGTCTGCAGTAACGCACACAAACAGCCGTACAGCGCAGCATCTGTCTAACAGCCCCCCCAAGTCTCTCCTCTCCTGAGGGTGAAACATGATTACATGACTTGTAACATGAAATGATTATCAAGCTCTTTTGGATGAATGCGTCCTTAATAAATGGTTTCCATAAACAAAATATTAAATACAAAACTCCAAAATTATCTCCTGATAATTAAGATTAGAGATCCACCCATCAGAGTTTTTATGGCAGCTTCCAATGGTTCGGATTTTAAAGACTTTGCAAAGGATTAACTGTCATGTTCAGTAAAATAGGTTTTGGTTTTCAGGCTCCTTTGTCAGTTTAATAACACTGTGTAACTTCTGATCCCAGTTTTATCTGAATGGGAGCTATAGTAAATGATTTTTCAAGTCAATATTTGGCTCTGGGTGTGTATCGATGCTCTATGCAGGCTGTCCTTAAAAACTTGTCTATGTAGCCTGAGAGGGTTGGAACGATTCAATTCAGTTCATTTATATAGCGCCAATTTACAACACATGCAATCTCAAGGCACTTTGAGAAAAATCAATCACATCATACGGTCAGGCTGGTTAAAAGTTTTCTATCTAGGAAAACCAGCAGACTGTATCGACTCATTGACTCTGCAGCAATCCCTCACACCTCGATCATGCATGCAGTGACAATGGAGGGAAAAACTTTAAAAGAAAGGAACCTCCAGCAGTGCCAGGCTCATTGTGAGCAGCCTTCTGCCGAGGCTGACTGGGGTTCAAGGAGAGAGAAGCAGACATAGAAAAGGAACATAGATACACTGATCTATAAATACTTTCTATGTTAGTAAAGCTAGGGTAAAGTAGCTCCATAGTTATGTCTAGGAAAGAAACAGTTAAGCTTTCATGTCAGAGGGATGGAAGAGAGCACAGTAAAATCTGAGCTCATAGCTATGTCTAGGAGAGAAACGAGAATAAACACTGAAAAGCAGGCCCCACTCTACCGGATTAGTTAGTAAAATAGTCAATTGTGACTCAGAGTGTCTCTTTAAGGCTGTCTGAGTTTAAACACAAGAGCCAACTAATCTAAACGCTGTTATTCAGCTCTGATTTAGGATTTCATTTAGAGCAGAGGATGTTTCCTTGACTTTACAAAGAAATCCATGACTTCTCAAGCTGCTGTTGAATCTGCAATGTTTCCAAAGGGCTCCAGGTGCACTAAACCTGGAATTTACTCGTCTAGTGCCCCTAGTGGTCAAAAGTAAAGTTTTAAGTGTTATAAAGTTTGTTTTATTGCTCTTAAGTAATATTTTCATAATAACTGAATTATATTGAAGTAAAAAGTCATCATATCCAACAGAAGAAAAAGCTTTAATATATCAGATGTTTGCATTAAATCTACATAATGTGATTCACTTTAAATGAATACTATAGAACTTTCAGTTTGGTTGATTTTGGCTCCCCCAGTGGACAAAATCTGTATTGTTTTTCCTGAAGGAAGACAACATTTTCCATGTGGTTTTGTGTGGCAGGGTTACTACTACAGTGTTGCTTAGTGTCAGTGATAGTGATGCAGACGCCCTCATGACAGAGGTGTCATTTAACTAGTTGTAAGTCTAAGTATAATCACAAAAGTTATGAGAATATTTTTTGAATGATCAAAAGTTACTAAGTGGTGGTTTAAGTGGAATAAATCATTGTTATAAATATGTGTTAAAATGTCTTGGCCAGGTCTCCCTCAAAAAAGAGATTTCAATCTCAAGGGATTTCCTGGTTAAATAAAGGTTAAATAAATAAATAAAATAATAATAATTTTGTTTCAAAATAGATCTGTGTCTGTAATGCCAGATTTGTAACTCTTGTCATTTGTAAATAACATTCTGTGCTCATTTAAAGTATCTGTGTCTGTTATGCATAACTTCAGGTTCTTGTAAATGTGTGTTAAAAACAAACAAAAATATAATGAAATTCTTAATTAACCTGATATTTAGGAATCCAAACGTTCTTATGCATACAAACCATTGAATTAATGTACACAAAGCGCATGAAACACAAAGACAAAACAACACTTACATTTAAAATCAGGTTACGGGTTCAAAATGTTTTTTTTTTTTTTAGACATTTCATGTTTTCAGAGAGCTCCCAGATTCCTGTGTTCATGGTGCCTTTAAATGCTCGTGGACTTTTTTTCCACCAAAAATGTTTCACTTTATACTTGTGCAGAACTGGCAAAGAGGATTTTCTGTTTAAAATGGGATACCTTACTTAGAAGACACTCAACTACTTTTATTATTCTATGGTTGTTTATTTACATGCATTTGGGAGCTGTACAAATATAATTACTGGGTTGAAATAAAAAGGCCACCAGGCGGCTGAGAGAACAGCCAAGCAGGCACTCTCTGTAATTTTTTTCAATAATATTCTGATTTATTAAATAAGGCAGTAATTGGAAGCTACTGGTGTATAAGTTCTGTTTTTCTGTGTTTAATATTTGGCATCACATTAATAGTTATAATAGTAAAATGTTTATTGTTAAAATACAAACATTGTTATATAGAAACAATATTATCTTTGTATCTTTGGAAATCTACAAAAATAAATTCTACATATTTTATCAAGCAGACAAAATATCCAATCCCAAAAAAAAAATAAATCCTCTCTCTTTTTCCCACTTGAGCTCAGGCAATGTGTGCTTCTGGTTTATGCAGCCAGCTTTCCATTAACATGCAGGTCAGGGCTCAGATTAATAACCAAGGGAAAAAAAGTCTTCACTTTACTTTAAAGTCCTCACTTTGGCTGTAAAACAGAATAAATATGTCCTCCTTTAGCTCCAAATACAAGTTTGCTCACACACATTCAGCAAGATTTAAAGGTACTGGACTAAATGTGAGTTAGAGCTCTTTAAAGATTAAAAGGACCATAAAAAACACAAAGAGGAGAAAGTGTTTATGCTGATGAGTTGGGAATCTTTTATTCTTTTCATCCGTTTTTAATGTTTTTTTCTTCTTTATATTAAAACCCTTGAATCCAGGCATTTTTGTCCCGTTTCTAGAAGTTTACTTCCTCAAAAACATCATATATAAATCTATGAGACAAATGTTTGGATACAAACACATAAATGGAGTCATTAAGATTCCTTTAATACCTTATATGGCTAATACCTTAAACCTTAATGGGTCTAAGGTAAGGTATAAGGTATAACACACATATTCCTTTTCACCATTTCATAATGTGCATTTGATTTATATATAGATCTATATATATTATATGTACGTAGGTATGTAGAAACGGTTTGGAGCAAACTTTTAGTGCATTAGCTTGGTAACTTGCTGATCCAGATTTTATGTGGGTCAATCCAATCGAACAGACAGTGCAGAACGCCACAGAGGAGAGCATAACCCTTCATGAGATTACATGGCTGAGAGAAGGCTAACTGGTGTCAGAAGACTGGGGCAGATCACAGGAATGGATTAGGGCATCAGAAGCGACATGACTCAGAGAGAGTTTCCCTCTCTCTGGTGAAACCTCTTTGCAGCCTGGCAGCCATACCAGCACTGAGGGATCTGTTTAGACTGTTAACCCTTCCTCCCTCTAAACCACCTACCATGTGCCAATGTTCTACTCTCTAATAAATACATCTATGTTTAAAGGATTAAAAATTTTGAAAAATTTCTGACCCTAGTAGATTATAAAAATCTGGGATAAGTTCAGACCCCAGAGAAAGTGATGTTACAGTTTTCACACTTTCCCTTCCTCCTGCTGAAATTGAGCTGAAGAGTTTAAATCAGGATTAGGGTCAAGTATTGCAATGATCTCATCCTCCCCAGCAAAACAATGATCCCATCACACAGTCACACGGTTTGATCCAGATCTGAGGTAATTACCTAATCTCATAGTTGTGTAATGGTCCCAAGTCTGTGGATTGAGTCCAAGCGTGCTGGGGGCGGTGAGACGGCTGTGTGGGCGGATGTGTGCCGGATGGTGTCTGTTTGGACAAGTGTTTCAGTGTATGTGTGTACACATGCATTAAAAACAAGTGAAACTTGTTGGCAGATGATGTCACAGAATTTAAAGCTCTACAGTCTCATTATCAGAGCTTTTTTTGCATGGTGGATAAAAGTTTTTTTTTGATCATTTGTATTTGGTTTCAAAAAATGTTACAGTGTTGAAGACTCATATCAACTTGTACTTTTTAAAATGTGTGCTATAGTGCAGTGAAGTGGAAAATTCAGATTCACAGCACATACATAATGTTCTAAAGGATCAGAAGTTCTGCTTCGCAGTACCATTTGTAGGTTATACAGGAAGGAAAGGTTTGCATCCCTAAAAAAGAACCAATGACCTAAAACAAGATGGCTGCAAGCTTAATTCCTCCCGTTCAGTAGGTGGTACACTACCTGCTCTTGTTCCAACCAGTTTACCACCTGGTTGCCAAGTCAGCCAGTGTTAGCTTTAGCAAACATTGAACTTACTTCTGAGCCCCTTTGCCAAGTCGATAACAACTCTTTAAAACTTGACCGATGTTAACCCTGATTTAACTTTTTTTGTTTGTTCGTTTTCTTTGCCTTAATTGGAAGACACAAAAGAGAAACGTAGCCATTTCTGAGTTCCATCACTAAGCTGCTAGGATCTGGCACTTCCTGAGCTTCTCTAATGAGCTTCATTAGACTTCCTCTGAGATGCATCCTAACGACCGATTTGTTCTGTAGGTAGTTAAGGAATAGTTAAGGCGCTTTCTTTTATCTTGAAACTGGGCAGTATGCAGCAACAGGTTGGGGAGGGGCTCTGCTATGGTTCTATGCTTCAGACAAGAACAACCAAACTGATCGTGCTCATCTGACACTAAACTCTAACATTTATTTAAACGTCAAAGAAAAACCAGCCTATTACCAAAACTTTGATTTAGTGATGACCTGGAAGAGGAATGCAAAGAGAATAAGACTAAGGCTGTGTCCGAACGTCCGCCCCAACCCCTACAGTAAATCCCTCAATCACTTTATAGAGCAGGGACTATATAGTGGACTTTATAGTGAACTCAGTTAACTGACCATTTGGACAGATGATCACTACTTTTCGCTCCCCACTGGTCCCGTAGCTCCACCTGTGCCATCTTTAATAGTCGCCACTGTCAGGTAACAACAGGCTGTGGCGACATTGGGCCTCTGTGATAGCAAATCCCATAATGCTTTGCAAGGAGAGCTCCCTGCACAAAGCATTCAGGGATATGATGAGGTGCATTGTGGGAAATTTCGATTCCACTACTTTTTCATCCACTTTCATTCAGACACAGGCTTAGTCTGTCTTTACTACAAACATTTATTTCTAAGTAAAATGTAAATACTGACATAGCTGTTCAGACGATATTTATGAAGTAATAGATAAACTTACAGACTACTAGCATTTAGGCTCAACGGTTTTGGGATTTTATCTTTTTAGTTTGGATTCAATTGATCAATAGTAAAGAAATGTAGGAAATACTTTATTATAACATTGTTTTAAGTCATAGTATTTTCTCGTAAAAAAATCATCATAATTTTTATGGCTTATCAGCTTGGCAGTAAATGAGTAGAAAACAATATGAAGACACAGCTCTGTTTCAGAATTGTTGAATGATTTCATTTGTGGTCCATAGGTATTTGGCAATAAGATGGTTATACCTTCACTGGACGGTGCCTTGTTCCAGTGGAACCCGAACAGAGAGAGTATGGAGGCCGTGCCTTTCAGTGTTGATTCACTGCTGGAGTCGTCCTACCGCATCGGAGACGACACTGTCCTGGTCGGGGGCAAGTCCATCACTACCTATGGTCTGGGGGCCTACAGCGGAAAGGTGGTTATATCATGATGGTAGTTTGAAAGATTTAACCCCTGGTTCCCTTTACTGTTCACTTGGAGACTTTAACCCCAGCTTGGTTTTCATCTCTGCTTCAGATTCGGTACATTTGCTCTGCGGGGGGCTGCAGTCATTGGGGGGACGAGGAGACTGAGGCAGAGGACGTCCTCCTACTGCAGAGGACTCAGAAAACCGTACGAGCCATCAGGCCTCGATCAGGAATGGAGAAGTAAGTTATTATTGTCAGGTGCAGGACACACTAACCAGGGTTCCTACACAGGGTGGAAAAGTCTGACCCTGAACAAGTTTGAACCTCAATCAAACATGCCAGCTCAACTTTAAGATTTCGACTTAAATCACATTAGTTGCAAAAATAACAATTCAGACTGGACTAAGACTTGCGGCCTAAATACTTGATATTTAACTTGGACTCTCAATGTAAGGCTACAGTCACGCTGCATGCTAATGGAAATCTTTTTATTGTTCATAAACTTCTCAGACCATATTATTCCATGGCTTTGAGACCAACCCATTTCTGATCTTTTCAACTTCAGAAAGATCCTATTTGTTCCACTTCCATATAAATTCTAAATCTTATACATATCCCTTTTTTTCTTTTTCTTAATGTCTGAAATCTAAAGGAACTTTTTTAGATCAATTTATTTGGTAGGAAAAGCTACAATAAGCATAGATCATTAGAAAATAATCTGACAACTGTATTGTATTTCCTATAACTATAGTTAATTCACAACACATGTCCCCTGAATGCCATTTTACTGTTAAAATGAATAAAAAAACAAACAAAAAAAGGTCCAGTAATAACAAGCCAGAACCAGTTAGTGCTAATAAAATCACTAAAATAAAATAAAAAAAAAATAAGAGCAGTTCCTGTTTTGTGTTCAACTGGCTCAGGTTTGTTATAAATCCTTTAATTATGAATAATTTATTACTTATTTAGAACTGAGAAGTTGTTGTTGTCGTGACTTCAGGTGGAACTTCAGTGTTGGCAGCTTTGAGCTGAAGCTGGTCCCTGAGAAGCAGTCTGGAATGAACTTCCTTGAAGGAGACGTGGCCAACGAGGACACCTGGAATGAAAGCCAGAGAGTCATCATCGATGAACCAAAGGAGAGGGAGCAAATGGACAACAAGCAGAACCAAAACCAACATTTGGACCTCGTCATCAAAGTGTCTGTTCCTGATTGGAAGGTCATGGCCTTCAGCACCGAGCCAAATGGACAGCTGGTCTGGGAGCATCAGGTGAGATTTTCAGGCCAACATCAATTTGTCATAGAGATGAGTGTTTTCTGTACTGCAGCTCATTCTGTTTCACTGTGTCCACGCAGTTCTGCACACCTATCGCCTCCGCCTGGCTGGTGGGGGGGGGTAAAGTCACACCGATCAGCCTATTTGATGACACGGCCTACAGCAGCCAATCAGAGTCTGAAGACGATCTAGAGGAGGATCCTGATTTGGACCGGAGTGCTGCTGAGTCCAGTGTCTACCTCGGTAAGTTCCTCTATTCATCCTTTTTTTGTTAATCTTTAAGGGGAAAACAATTAATTTTGTTCATGAATGTGTTTCCAGGGATGTTCCAGGGGCAGTTTTACCTCCAGTCATCAGTAAGGATCTCTGAAAAGTTCCCGACTAAAGCTATCGGATCAGAGAAAGATGTAATTTCAGTCCCCACTGTTAAATGGAAGCCTCTTATACGTAAGTGTTCTTGTTCTTACAGATAGAAATAAACTCCAGGGACACTGGGTTTGATGACAATAAGGAGACTGACCAAAGAGATGCCACTTTTCAAAGAAGTTCCTTTTTCTTGTCCTTGCAGAGTCCCCATCCAGAACTCCAGCTCTGGTCGGCTCTGATGAATTTGACAAATGTCTGAGTAATGACAAGTATTCCCACGATGAATACAGCAATGGAGCCTTGTCCATTCTGCAGTATCCATACGGTAAACACCTCATGGTTTCCTGACAATCACACAATCATGCAGTGCTTTACATGCCCCCTTTACTTACCACCACAATCCTCCAATTTCAGATGAGACACCAACACAAAGTAGTTCATATTATAAAGTTGGTAGAGGCTTCCCAAAAAGATTGTAATCTGTAACTGCAGCATAAATGGTTCAAAAAATATAAACTATTTATAAAGAAACCAATGGAGGGAAATCTGTCATGATCTCCTAATGTGCTCAACTGCCTGATGAAATTGTCTCTTTGTTAAATTGTCCCTGTAAAGTGCCCTGAGATGGCATGTGTTGTGAATTGGTCATATATAAATGATCTGAATTGGATTTAACTGTAAAATCAAATAAAGCACAAACGTTTTCGGTGGAAATTTGATCAAACGAGAGGCAATTTTTATGGCTTCACCAAGCAGAACCTAAATGAATTAATACAGCTCTGACTGCCGTCTCCCATCTTCTCGTCACAGACAACGGTTACTACTTCCCCTACAGCAAGAATTACCGGGAGAAACGAGAAAGTGCCATTAGTCTGATAAAGGGAAACGAGGCGGGATCGGACAACAGGAGGAGGAAGGACCCAGTGCTGCTGCTGCCCTGGTGGAAGGAAATCCTTGGCACCATTGTTTTCTGCATCGCTGCCACCACCTACGTGGTCCGCAGGTTCTTCCACCCTCCTGCCCCCGTGGCCTATGTGAGGGTAAGAGTTCTCAGCCCCACTGGGCCACACCCTGGAATACGGCTGATGCTGGGTCTAACTAATGCGTTTTTTCCTGTCCTTGGTGTTTCTACCAAAGCAACGGAAAGAGTCCGAGACACAGTGCCAGACTGACAGCAAGTTTGACCTTGAAGTTGTTGAATCCAGAGAGGCGGTTGCCATGGAGAACCGCTTCAGTGAATACGTGTCCAGGTACTCCACTAACTAACCACGGGGCAGCGTGTCCCCGCTTGTCATCTCTCTTTCAGCCCCTGCTGCTGCTCCAGAAGTTATTACCCTGGTATTAGAAAGCCCCACATGTTTAGGTGTAGCTACAGATTGAGCCTTGTTACCATGGTGACCACTGGTCTTCCAGCCTGCCTTGAATAGGACAAGGCAGAGATAGGAGTCGTAGTAATGTGCAATTGGGTAACTCAGCTGTTTGCCATCAAATCAGGACGACCTTGGTCCAGCGGCGCCCTGCCCTGCTCCATCTGCCGCCAGGGTCACGTCGCATCATGCCAGGTCGCGTCGCATCATGCCAGGGCGCTTTTGGACGTTTTTAACTTCTTCGTTGGGACATCCAGAATATAAACGGCAGCCATCATTCGTAGGCTGTCAGTCTCGTCCCTTTAAACATTCTTGAATGTTTTTCATAACCCACACCAACACAATTCGAACTCCATTGCTTTCTTTCATTCCAAGCTGAGGATCACAGATTAGTTTGGCTTTCCCAAAATAAAAAGCAGCAACTGTTGGAGCAGCTGAAATAAAAACAAGTCCAGATAGTCAGGGGGAAGGAGATCAGGACCAATTCACACATGCTTTCTGGTGTAGAGAGGGAGGAAGGCGTTCAAGGTAAATCTAAAAGATGCAAGCAGTCAAAATTTCATTCTGTCCTGCCTTAAATGTTAGTTTGTATGGAGTGAAATTTGTTCCATTATTGTTGCAAGCAAAGAACATGTTTTGTAAATGGAAAATTGAAAAAGATGCAATACAGAAATTAAACTTTAAAAAAATGTTTTTTTCGAAAAATATTTTGAGAGTAATCCTTTTTTTCAAGCTTCTATTGCAGTTTTTACAGATTTCAAAATTAGATTTTTTTTTTATCAAATTCCCTTTTTTCAGGTTTAGTTTTACAAATTGCTTTCTTTTCAATTGCTCTTTCCCTTCACTACTGGGGGAAGGATGAAGACTAATCTAATTCTATTGGTCTGCATGAACCTTAGTAACAACAAAGAGTGCCTTACGAAGTGAAGAGAATTTGATCTGTGAAATGCAATTTGAAATGACTCACTCTAAAAAAAAGTGAAAAAAAGTAAAAATTTTAAATGTCAAAAAAAAGCAAAATGTGGAAATATATAATCCCACTTAGGAAAAAGTAAATGTAACACCTAACTTATTAAGAAAAAACAAAATCTAAGAAAGCAGCAAACTCTCAAAACCTTTTTTTTTTATTAAGAATTTAATTTTCTTTTCTTGATTGCATTTTTGAAAATTTTCATTTACAAAACCTGTTGTTTTGCCTGCAAAAAATAATGGAACACAATTGACTCCGTAATTTGAATTGCTGAAAAAGGTTTTAAAAATTTGAGAAATCAATATCTTTCTTTGAACTTTAGATGACAGCTTTATAAAAAAGAGAAATGAAAAACTTAAACTACTTATTTAGCTTGAAGCTAACACTTAAGCATAGCGGGATACTATTCTGTCTCTTCCTAAAAGTCCTCAGATAAATGTGAGAGCCAGCTGTCCAGCATCATTTTGTGCTCATTTATTGATTCACATTGATACATAAAGAGTCTGGTCATTCTATTTTCGTTTGACAGTCTTTTCTCCTAAAATACAGATTTTTATTAACTAGGTTTTCTATGTTTATTTTCTTTGCCTAGAATTTTAAAGTGTTATAAATGAAACTTATTTGGATTATTTTCCTATATTATTTTGAGTACTGGCTACTTTTTAACCTTAAGGATAATCTAACAATCTGCCATCTAAACAAAAGTCCTTTCCCAGCTTGAATTTTTTTGTGGAATTACCTGTTAACTGGACACTTTTAGCCTCCACTCTTCTTTTCAGTAATAACCAACGTTTATTCCCCCCTCAGGTACCTGACAGACTTCGAGCCCGTGCAGTGCCTTGGCAGAGGGGGCTTCGGTGTTGTCTTTGAAGCCCGTAATAAAGTGGATGACTGCAACTACGCCATCAAAAGAATCCGCCTGCCCAACAGGTAGCGGCTCTTGCTGGCTGGAGCAAACTTCCTTGCTGGAGGCAGTTAGCGCTCCCTTTAGCTCTGTTCTCCTTTAAAGCTGCTGAAGCTAGTTATGTAAGCGGTGGCCTACTTGTTAAACACAGAAAAACACACCGGCTGGACTGGCTGTTTGAAACCAATATTAACACTGCATTTATTATTCAACCAGACAAGCGTGGATATTTACCTTTGAGCCGAGGTACGGAGTGATTTTTATTCCATTATTGTTGCAAACAATAAACACGTTTTGAAAATGAGAAAAAAAAAAAAGATTTTGAGAGTTACTTTGCTGTTTTCTCAGAATGTATATATTTTTTACATTTTTAATCATATTTTATGACATTTTATTTTTTCAAATCTCAAGAAATTACCATTTTATATTTTAGAATTGCATGTATTTAAATTTCTTCAAAAATGTGTGGATTCTTCACCCCTCCCTCCAGAGGAAAGGTCACCACCAGAAGTAAATGAATGCAATTTGAAATAATGCATGTCATCAAACTCGATTTGAAAAGTAGACATTTGAAAAAACAGAATACCAAAAGAAAATACGAAAAATATTAGAAAATAGAAAAGTTACTCTCGAAACCTTTTTTTTTATTATTGTAATTTTTTTCAGTTTCATGTCTCGATAAATTATTTTTTTTAATCTCCATTTACAAATCACATTTTTGCAACAATAATGGAATGAAATTCACTCCATACCCTTGGAGCTTTGCTTGCCTTTGTATTTTAAATCTAGTGACTTTTTTAATTCTAATTGTAAGAGTCTTGCAGCTGTAATTTATTTTAATGCTTCACAATTTTAAAATGAGAATGTGAGACGAGTAAAAACAGTTTGTTGTTGCCCTGGTTGGTCCTGTTACCATGATAGTTTTACCCAAAATAGAGCTGAATGCCTTTATGCAGTTGGGTTTTTGGGTAATCAGACTGTATTTATGGTTAAAGCTGTAACCAACAACAAAACCAGACGGCATGTTTGAGGGAAAAACTGACTGTAGCAAATGTAAAGAAGGGAGAAGATGGAAAATCTGAGGCTGAAACGACGCAGAAACTCATAGGAAGAAAGGTCCCTAGTTTTTTTTTTTTTTTTTTTTTTTTAGTCCAACCATTAACCAGAGGGATCAGATACAAAGCTGCAGAAATAATGGAGGTGTTTCAGCCATATGTGAGGAAAGAGTTAAGCCTCATGTTTAGTTTTCTGTCATTCAGGGAGCTGGCCCGGGAGAAGGTGATGCGAGAGGTGAAGGCCTTGGCCAAGCTGGAGCACCCTGGGATCATCCGGTACTTCAACGCCTGGCAGGAGAGCCCACCTGAGGGCTGGCAGGAAGAAATGGACCAGAGGTGGCATAAGGATGTCAGGTTAGATGGGTGTTTTGTTTGTATTTCAGCTTAAATTCTCTGCATATTCACTTTGAATGTAACTTCTTATTTCGTTTTCAGTACCACTGACTGGCCAATGAGCATCCTGGACCCCATGGAGGTGCTGTCATTCAAAGTACCGGTGTCCAGCTCTCTGTCCCCCACCTCTGTTCCGGGGGGAGACACTCTGGAGGGGTCCGTTGACGCTCAGGTTCTCTCCAACAGCACAGTGGGCTTTGAGGCAGAGGACACCAACCTTTCCTTCCAGCCGCTTCTCGGCCACGACAGCCTGATGTCTGAGAGGGACAGCCAGGCAGACCCCGACGCCTCAGACACCCCCGACTCATTCGAGCTCTGTCCTCCCCGTGGGCCTAGCGACTGCACCTCCTCATCCTTTGACATCGTGTTCGAGGACTCTGGCTGCGACCGAGATGCAGAGGCTGACACAGACTCAGGGCCGAACACAGCCAGTCCCAAAACACTGACGGAGAAGAAAACTTCTTCTTCTTCTTCACTCAGCAGACAGCAGGAGGTTGTTTCACCTTCCACCTCCAGTCCTCCTCGCCCAACCACGCTCACGTTGGCTCTTCCTGCTAATTCGGCCCCACAGCGCTTCCAGCCTTCCCCAAAGGTTATTAACACAACTCTATCTATTTTATTTGACATGTAGCTCACTTAGTTTTTAATTTCTAAAACTGGGTGATATTTATACCTTTCAAATGGAGGTAAACATTCGACACCATATGAGGAATCAGTGTTATAGATCAGGGGTTACCTACTTTTTTAAGGCTTAGAGCTACTTCATGGGTATTGAGTCATAGGTGGCGGCTTTCACCTAAACTTTATGCATATTTACCATATTTTAATTATTTCTTTTCATTTCTAATTTTCTGTTTGATTTTAGATTTTTTGAAATCTCTATAAATGCAAGTTTGATTAAAAAAGAGGAGCAACAGAACTAAACAGCCCACTGGTGAGTTGTTGTATTTTCAGAAGGGAGGGCCTGTTAGTGTTTGTGGGCACCGTGTTGGTGACCCCTGCTATAGATAAATGGTTTGACTATTAGAAAATAGTTGCGGTTGTGATTGACAGCGGCGCACTGGTAATTACAGCAACACAAACATGGCGTGCAGTCGTATGAGGGGAAGCAACTCCCTCCCATTTCTTCACCAGAGACAGAGCAGGTGGGGAGGGGGGAATCTGTGGAGGGGGCCGCAGCCTCTGCTCCCTCCTCTTCATCAGAATCTATCCAAACCAAACACTCTTCATTAGCAAAACGTAATAACTTTTATGTATTTTGATTGGACAGGTGTTTACTATTTGTTTTAACTTCTATTATTAGTAAGATAATAATTTACATAAATTTTACATTGTAAAAAAACTAGAGACTGACCAATACAGTTTTTTTAAACTGATACAGATTATTTTGACATCAGTCTAGCTGATCCCTGACGTGTGCTGCTGATTTCTCCGGGCTGATTTTTTATTTTATTTTTTTGGCATATATGCCAAATCTTTGCTTTATCTTCCACTATTTACATCAGCGCTACCAAAAGTAGGGAACAGGATGCCCCAGGTGGGCAGACACCAAGTGGGGGGGTCAGGAGATGGTTTTCACCAGAGCCATGGAGATAGGAAAGTTGCGCCACTGAAAGACCAATAAGTTAGGATGCCAGGGCATCCAGTTGTTCGGCTCATTTAAAAAACAAGCAGATCTGTGACAGATGGAGCGCCTTCTGTATTTATTTAAAAAAATAAACCACCACTATGAAAGCGCTTACTGATTGAGAGGTTATAGAGCTCTAGTGTTAGCCATGTGACATGTGAGCCTGTTTCACTCTTCTCTCATGTTGACTCATTTGTTTATAGATGTTGGCCTTCTGTTTACATGATCAAAGATGAGCAGAGCAACTTAAATATTATTTTATAATAGTTATTCTAAATAATTAATAATTTCAATTGAAATGCTAACGTGAGCGGCTAACTTCCCTCAAACTATCGAAGCTCTGTGTGTCACCGTCGCTCTCTGAAACGTTGCCTGTCAGAACTCTCGTATCTCTATGGTTCTGGTTTTCACAGCCTTGATGTGATCCCTGAGGTGTATGGAGGCCCAAAAATATATTAAGAAAATTATTATAATAATTGTGAATTTCCCATGAAATATAAATAAAGATTTGTTACATTTATATGTAAAACATGAATCAGATAAAATTATTTTTTAAATAATTACACTATTAAACTGGATATTGCACATTTAAAAAAACTAAAAAGGTCCTGTTAAATAATTATGAATACATTTAAAATTATGTATTAAATAATGAAATGTTTTAAAAATAAATTTGTTTAAACATAATAAAATTACTTAACTTAATATAAATCAGTATAAAGTATTTATAATGTAAAGTCTGTTGCATTGTTATTTTTGGGGTCACTAGTTAAAATGTTTGGGAGCCCCTGATTTTACATGATAAGAATCACTCAGTAATAACAGTTGTTACATAAGTTTCAGTTTAAACAAACAGAAACATTTATTAAGGAATAAAACAAAACAATAATGGATGACCAATAGAGGGAGAAGCAATACTTCCCACCATCTGGAGGCATGGATGCTGAATGCACTAATGAATCAGCTAACAAATGTGTTTATCGACCAATACAAGCAAAAAAAAATTACCCCCCAAAAAATTACCCAATAATATCTGCTGACCGATAATCTTTATAAGACACCAATATAATTCTCCCAGCGTAGACCTGCTTAAATCAGTTCTCCTACATCACGTCCCCAGCTAAGCCCATTGCAAAATCAGACACAGTAAGTATCCCGTTTCAACCCCAAATGTCCAGCAGCTGATTTAGGGATGAAAAGTTCTTTAAACTGTATTTAATGTTAATTAGCATGACTGACATTGTTAGCATTACCTCATCCATGTGTCTGCAGATTATAAATCCTTACCTCAACTCTGAGATTTCCAGAAGGCCTCCAACATTTCAAACTTTCAAACATTGAAATGTTCAAGAGATTAAACAAAGCAGGTTTGCTGTGACACATCCAGCCTTCCTGTTATCTCCATGAAGTCTTGCTCTCATTTGCTTTCTCACAGTATAACAGAATGGTAGCTATTTTTTTTTTGTTCTCTTGATTGGGCTGCAACTTAAATAAAACCCTCCTACCTGCAGGTGTACCTGTACATCCAGATGCAGCTCTGTCGGAAGGAGAACCTGAAGGACTGGATGGCTCAGCGCTGCTTGCCGGACCAGAGGGAGCTCAACCAATGTCTGGACATCTTCCTGCAGATCGCAGAGGCTGTCGACTTCCTGCACAGTAAGGGTCTCATGCACAGAGACCTTAAGGTAAACGGATACCTAATCTAAGCCAAGCCTCAGTTTATCCTCTAAAAAATGTGTTTTTAGAGCAAAGTTGTCTATTTTCTGCAGCCTTCCAACATCTTCTTCACCATGGATGATGTGGTGAAAGTGGGAGACTTTGGCCTGGTGACTGCTATGGACCAGGAGGATGATGAGGAGGAGCCGAGCGTCCTGACACCTGCCCCCCTCCTCACCCGGCACACAGGCCAGGTCGGCACCAAGCTCTACATGAGTCCAGAGCAGGTGAGGGAACGCTGTGTGGAATATTTGCTTTCACTGTGTTACAAACAGCGACAAAATAAACCTGCTGGTTTGGTTTGTTGTGTTTTCTTTTTCCTGCAGCTCTCTGGTAACTCGTACTCTCATAAAGTGGACATTTACTCGCTGGGTTTGATCCTGTTCGAGCTGCTGTATCCCTTCAGAACCCAGATGGAGAGAGTGAGGGTGAGTCAGCAAACACCCAGGCATCTAATTAGCTCATGGCTTTAAACCCATTAAACCTTTTCACCTTTTTTAATGATACAAAAACAAGTTTCAATGTATCCTGTTATTTTGTTGCCATTTATAAAGTAATACATTGTTGCAAAGTTGACAGAAAACAATTCATGGTTTTAAAATGTTAATGTTACTCTAATCTAGAGCAGCTGGTCCTAATTGAATAAATGAACTTTTTTTAAACAATGGAGAAACACAGCAGTTCTTAGTAGCTCAAAAAGTAGGTACAGAAGGTTGGGGGGGGGGACAATATGCAAAGAAAAAAAGAGTAGCATCAGTGAATGAAGAGCGAGGTGCGTGAGAACGCTGGGCACCTTTTTCCATTTGGATGAGGGCGAAAAAGAGCAGGGAACGCTCTTTATTGGGGGAATGATATGCAAAGAAAAAAAGAGTAGCATCAGTGAACGTGTTGTTACTTAAAATATAATATTCTTAAAATATATTAAACTGTTTTTCTGCTTTTTGTCTGTTATAATATTTATCAGAGAACAACAACATTTTGAAGAGCAGCGAACATATCAGACACATCAGTGATATAGAAGAAGTTTACAGCAGACTAAAGGGTTGGTTATACTCCCGCAGCAGTGTGTAGCAGTGAGGTTGTTGCAGATATTTTTGATTTATGCCCAATATTAAGCGTGTTCTGCGCTATGTTATTCCACGCCACAATACAAGAAGGACAATAAGGAATTAGCTGTGGGTCTAGATCTGGCCGAGGTGGTGAGGAAGTGGGGCAAGTTTGTGCAACAATGGAGGGACATGAGGATGAAAAAGAGCGGGGATCCTGGTGGGAAAAGGGTCCCAGCGTTCTCATGCACCTCGCTCTTCTAGCTGGTCCAACTTCACGAGTCGTTTTCCACAATGGAGGTCATACAAACAAAACAAGCCGGTAAGGTAACAAACAGGAAATACGCATAGTGTAGAGCGGATGTAGATTTGACCAATCAGAGGCCTCCTGTCTGCGATCACCTAAAATTTGGGAGAGGTGCAACAGAGTGTCTGCGGAAGGGGGGGGGCACATTTGCATTCACTGCGACACACACGCAGACGACCTGGTTTCTGTGTATAAATCAGCCTTTAGGATGTATTAGCTTTAGCACAAACTTTAAATATCTCAGAACAGCTCAGTCTTAAAGGGAAGAACTATGGTTATCCTGCTAACCTACCAGCAAGTTCCTCTCTGCCTGGAAAACATACATGTAAGAAACACCCAATGATCAGTGGGGTGTCTGTGGGAGCTGCATAGGTTCTCAACTCAGGTGGGAGAATCTAGAAAACAGGAAAATATTCCCCAGATCAGGAAATAAGTTACCATTGTCTGATCCTGAAGGTGAGCTGACTAGCGTGTTAAGCTGAAACCGTTTCATATATGCAGCTTGATAAAATTATTGCTGTTACAAATTTTTCAATCATGTAGCCAGTTGCTTTTATGTTCGTTTTTAGCTGATTTCTTTGCATAACTCCAAGAATGTGTCCTGGTGAATTATGACAAACAGGAAGCAGGCGCTGAAAAAGCCCTTTAACACCTTTAAAGTTTACCACAAACCATGTTGGAGACGTAGTAAATATTGTTGGAGTAGGTATCAGGTGGGATGAGACCAAAACGGTGGCAGAAAACAACCAATAGATATCAAACTGAAGACAGCAGTGACAGCAACAAGTTGTTGGCACCATCATCCTCTGGGAATCATTAGGAACAGGAAACCTGACCAATCAGACTAGGAGAAAATCTGTTTAATTCGCCACACATTGACCCCCCGGCAGAACAATGGTCATAAACTAACAGCTGATGGGTTTATATCAAAGCAAGAATGTCAATTTGAGAATCTGTGGCTTCAACATATGTAAACTAATGTTAACATTCAGCCTGACAGAGTGTCTGCTTTTATACATAGGAGAACAGGCAACGTTTCAGTCTCTAGATGATCAGACCTGGAGGGATATGGAGCTACAATTGTAACTGTACACCATGTAGAATATTTTAAAAAATTGATAATTTAACTTCAACAGCACAACCATGGGTACTTCTTTGTAGTCTGGAGTAAAGCTTTCCTTAAAGATTTATTAAAGTTTGAGGCTGAAACATAAAACAATAAAAGCGCCTTTAACTAAATGCAATAGTTCAACATGCAGAAGATTCTATGCTTCGAACTAGAAAAGGAAAAAAATGTTTAGGGTGTTAATTCATTAAGAAATGTATTCCCTAATATATTATTCTGTGTTTCGGATTAACATTAATAAGCTAACGTTGTGCTTTTGTTTAGAAATTCTCTGTCGGATCGTGCAGATCAGTTGCTTTGTCAGTTCCTGATGAAGTATAATAGAGATTTCTTACGTCTCTCTGTAACAAAGGCTTCATGATGAGCCATCAGGGCCGCTCCACTCACAGGTGTTTACCTTCTACCTTTCAGACGCTCACAGAGGTGAGAGATCTGCGCTTCCCAGAGGTTTTCTCCAAAAACAACGCTCAAGAGGTGAGTGGTCACCTGCTGCCACATAGTGGCTACAAATACAAATAACACCTCACTACCTATTACTACTGATACTGAGTAAACAGACAGAATAATGGAAGGTCACAGAGATTAAAGATTGGGTTTTCAGAAACATTTGGTTCCCTTTAACATTATAAGATATACTTATATTTATCTATAAGCAAACAATCTTCTTTTATAAAAAAAAAAAAAGAAAAATCCCTTTTTACAGCCGTATTATTGTCTTCACTCAGCCATATAATCAAAAGTAAAAGTTTTGATATCCCTTATGTATCTTCTCAATTTCTCACATTAGAATTTAAGATTCTAATGTATTAAAGCTGATGTAACATGTTTGAATTTTACATGTTGGCTCCATAAGCAGAGGTGCATAGTTTTTATACAAAGTTTTAAGACTCATTCTTTATTTTCTTTCCTTCCTGTTTTTAGCTCAAACTAGCTTCCCTTTCTCTTCCTGTGCAGTTATATGCAGTTATCTTTCTTAATCTTTAATAGAATGGCTTTAGGTTTGCCGTATGTTTTCCTGTTAACTCAAATCCCATTCTTTGTGGGTTAGATTAACAGAAGGGTTTAAGCTTGAATCATGGTCATATAGCTAACTCTGCACACATATGAAATGAATTTGCAACTTCTATTAACTATACAAATTTCTTGACAAATTCCAGGCTCAACATTTTTCAAATAAAAGCCCTTAATTAAGCTAGTTAAAATCAATAAATTAAATAGCTGTTACAAAAAAAATTAAATGGACAAATAAAAATGGTTGAGAACCGTTGAGAACCGTTCAATAATATAACTTTTCAGCATAGATTTTGTTTTTGTCCAAGTTTGTCTTGAAAAAATTGGATTAAGGTCAAATTAGCGGTGCACCGATTAACAATCTTTAAAAAGCCTGAAATGCCCATTCTGATCTTGACCAATATATATTGATTTTGTTTAATTAACAGTGTTAGTTGTGGTAAGATCACAGAAACCTTCAATATTTTGGCAATAAAAACTTCTAAAATAATTGCTCTTAAATATAAATCAAAGTTTATCGCCATCAGGTTTTTTAGTTTCAGCGCAACTTAATTAGAAATATAACAAGTGAAATTAGACCTATGAGCTTCTTGAACTGTTTGGATGACGGATATCTCTGGTTCTGTGTTAACAGCTGAGTATGGTCCGCAGCATGCTGTCTCTGAGTCCTAGTGAGCGTCCGGAGGCAGCTGACATCACTGCCATGTCCCTCTTCCAGGAGCTGGAGCTGCCCTGCCGGCTCGCCGTCAGGCAGCGCTCCCGCAGCTACAGCTCCTCTTCAATGGGTCGTCCCTCACGTCAGACATCATCCAGCTGAAAATCCGTCCCCTCCAATCTGCCCTCCCTAGCTCCCAATCCGCTGATATTCTACCCAAGCCCCTCCTGGTCATCATCATCTCATCAACCAAGAAAACTTACACAAACTTTTAAAAACAGACAATATCCTGCACCGTTAATTTAGCAAACTTGTGTCATTTATTGTTAATGCAGCATTATAAGATCCTGCTTTCACCCTTAAACAGGAAAGGTTACTTCCAAAGGGGATGGACTTTGCTTAAGGTGGACTTGCAGAAATGTCTTTGTGGGTATTTAAACAAAATCTGAATAACAGATGTGGAAACTCTATGGCTTCCAGTCAGCTCTATGTAAAACTGCCCAGTCATTTATCTGCAGCATCTACCTGAGATTCTTCTGTGAGAAAAACTGCTGCTTTCTGTTCTCCAGCATGGCAGATGTAATCATTCTTAACTCTTAAGTCAGTGACAGCGATGCTTAAAGAAAAAGATCTGGTCTAAACATGCTGCCCGCTCCCACACTGAACCAGTGTTCACTTCAAACAAACATGCTACACCTCAGGTATCCAAACCAAGGGGACACTCCAAAGGGGCCTTTGATGCTTGTCTTCTGACACAATCTGCCTGATTTGGGAGACCAAAAAAAAAAAAAGGAATCGTTTTCATAATCGTTTTTAAATAAGAGAAGATCTTGTATTGCATAGAAAGGAGATTAAATCCTGTCCATCAGATGTGACTTGCCTTTAGAAAGGGGCGGTTTGCCCTCTCAGAGTGAATGCTGAGCTTATGTCTTTTTGCATGGATCAGACCGGAAATGAAGGAATGAATGGGAGTTTTTTTTTTTTTTTTTTCTTTGAGTAAATTTTCCAGATCGATTTTCCGAGGTGCTTCAACCTTTTCTAACACCTCTTCTTTACTATCTGTACATAGCTGAAGTCAAACCTTGTGTATATCTTTTCCTTTTCTTAAGATAACTTTGTGCGATGTTGTACATATCTAAGGCGCCATTGCTTGTAAAAGGCTTTTTTTTTTCATATTGAACTGTAAGATAGTGTGATATACTGTGAGAGATGAAACAAAGAGGAGGTTCGCTCTTTGCCATTAATGGATAGCTGAATGTTACAGTGTGACCCCACACACACAGACAGATGACAGCGGTCACATCCTGGAAACTTCTCAGTGTTTGTTTTCATTCATTTGGGCAACAAAATGGAGAGCTTTGCCTTGCTTTGAAAGAAGGGAGGGGAGCTTGCAGGAGCCAGATTGCCATTTGAAGGACAGCTAAGTGTACTTTTCTGTAACCGATAACTCGCCTCATATTATGGATTATCTTGACCGTTGTGATTTAACACTTTCCTGCTCACTCACAAAAACCCTACAGATCCACTGATCACCTTTTCCAGGCCGATGGAAAGACTGGATGGCTGCTGGTTATGATAAAATAACCAAATCCCTATTTGTAGAGATGCATTGAATAATCGGGAGGAGACTTTAATCTCTGAACAAACCGTAGCAAAGCATTAGGAGTTTGTGATAACCACAACTCAGTTTGGATGATGGTAAATTCTATCCAAGTCCAAAAAGGTGCATAAAAGTTAGCTGATGTGTTTACAGACCCAAAATTGTAGGTATTTTCAGTTTTGAGAAGTTAAAACATGTCTGATCTATTGTAGCTTAAACGGTGCATCTCTACAGAAATGAACACATCCTGAGTTCTTCAGCTCTCATGTGTTGCAGGAAAGCAGCATTTGCTTGAAGTCATCACTGTTTAATCCCCTCTGCTCAGCCTGTGGGGAACCTGGACCTGCTGACGGTTGTCTAATCCTCATGGCCTTTGTTTTATGTGCTGGAAGAGTCACATGACCTGTTTGGAACTACACACAAACTGTTAATTGTAGTTGTGCTTTCTATGATTGTACTTTTCTAAAGATTTTCTTTTTCACGAGTGCAGTTTTTTTCATTCCTCTGCAGGTTTTTATATAATTTAAGTCGGACACAGGAAATCAAGCAGATTTTTCGTTCTTTGACCTGATCAGCATATAGAGAATAGTACATGGTAAACAAAAAAAAAAAAAAATAAAGTTCTACTCTTTTCTATTTCTAAACAAAACATCCTCACAGTCTGTTTGTTAAGAGCTTTTTATATGATTGAGCCACATCTAACCAAACCCTTTACATTTACATTTTTGTAAGTTAGTTCAATCCTTTTATGAGAGGATGTTTTTGTAAAATTAATATGTAATTCTTCTCTTTAATTATTGGGGGTTTTCCTAGAGAAATTGTTCTGGAGGTTCTGGAAATATGTTTACTCCAAAGAGCTGTTGCATAAAGAAAAAAAAATCCTGTACTTTATTCACCTACCTATACCGTATCATCTTTGTGTACTGACTCCAGCATTACTGATTAGTGTATTATCAGAAGGTTAACACGTTTTTGAGACAATAGAAAATGTGATTCCATTAATTTTTTCATCCTTTTGTTTTTTGTTTTTTTTTAAACCTGAGCAGTTTTCTCAGATAATTGTTCAAATAAAAATGAAGTTCTTTGTGTGTCTCAGGCCTCTGGCTGGACAGGCAGTTGCTTGATCCTGCACACCCATCCTGTTTCTCTCCCCCTTTGTTGAACTGTAAATATGTCAATTTGGTTTATTTATGTTTTGTTGGCGTGATCAATCCTTTGGGGGTTGGTGTAATACTGAGCGCTTCATGCCATGGAGCGCATTGAAATACGACTTCTTATAAGTCTGAACTTAATAAACTGTTCTCTACAATTTTCACAGTTGTCTCATCGGTCATTGTGTCAATACATTTTTTGCATTTTGATAACCAAAATGTTTGTATATTGTATATAATTTGTATATTTTATTCGAAATAAGAATTAATGTTTGAGAATAGAAACTTCTTTGTTTCCAAAGCATAATTATATGAATTAATTCCACAAATACATTTTTTTTTTGTCATTGTTTTTTGACATAAACCAAAAATCTACCTGTTGAAACTCTGTGCTCAAACTCTCTTATGGGTGAATTTCAACTTGCAAGTACAAATTTGGATTCTTCTGCATCTCACCTGACCCACCGGGTCGCCGGCGACCCGTTTTAAAGCGTTTACAAATAAAAACTCAGAATGCATGAAAATTACACAGGCAAAATATTTAGCAATATAGACACATTAGACATCGTCGGAAAGCTTAGATTCTCCACAATTCAACCACCAAGTTCATTTTATGGACACCGCGAGCACCAAAGCAAAATTAACAGATATAGCAGCATGTCAAAATGTAAACATGACAAAGCGGCCACAACAAGCAATCACGTATTTATTACTGCTGTTCAAAAAAAGACCTACAATTTTCTAGAATAAAAAAAAACAACTTTGAGTCATGTTTTAACTGATGCAGCTTGGGCTGTGTTTTACTCACCCAATTTGCATGTATATATTCAGAAACTAGAAGGTGTTAGCTTTCAAATGATGTATCACACATGTAATTTGGGCTTACAGTTCCTACGTTTTTTGCTTTTCCATTTGGGTATGCAAAAATAGGCGAGAATTTCCCAAAAATAAGTCAGTTTTGCGTCGATCATGAATTTAACCATACAGTAAAAAATCGGAATCTAGATGAGTCATTTTTTCTTAAAATAAGTGCATTTGTTTTTGAATTGAGGAGGTAAAAGAGACATTTTGCCAATGGAACAAGACAATTTACACAAAATAAGAAAACACAATCGCATTGTCTTATTCCAAGTGCATATTATCTATGGTAATTATCTTATTTTAAAGCTACAGTGTGTAATAATTACAGGGATATACAGTCAGAAATGTAATATATTATACATAACTATGTTATTTATCATCATCTACGAGCTCAGCCTCTTAACCTTAATATTTGCGTTGCCTTAGAATTCGTTATTTCTAATTACATAGGAGCGGGTCTCGCAGCCATGGAGGCAGACATCTTTGCGCTACGGCAGAGCAGAGCCAACAAACTAGCGAAGCAGCTCACCAAAACCTCACAACGATGTAGAAAAAATAACGGGTATATTTATTATCTTAAATCTACATGAAATCTATACCCTACACAGACTAATGAAATACTATCTGTAAAATTATCTATGTAAACAAACCTCATCACTTGAGAAGGTAGGTGATGCGGACGTCGTGGAAGACATTTTGTCCCGTAACGCTCGCCGTACTGTTGGGGGGGAGAAGCAGTTGGGGGGGAGATGTTCATGTTGCTGCGGTCTGCAGTCTGGACGTTAGATGTCGCTGAAAATTACACACTTAAGCTTTAAGAGTGGCAAAGTATCTCATTTACCTACTCAAATTAAGGTTAAATACACTTAATTTAAGAAATTTGTACTTATTTCTAGATTGTTTTTACAGTGTGTGTTTGATTGTTGGGATGTTGCTTTCTAACCCAGGACATCCAGTGTCTGCTCTCTGCTCGGACTCACTACTGTAGGCCCTTAAAAAGGCTTCTCACAGGCTCACGTTTGGTCCCACCTGAACCGGCTTTATCTTGGATTCCATCCTTTGCAACGCCTATTAATCCACGCTACGCTGCAGGGATTCATGGCTCAGCCATGCATTTGCTCCCTCCACCTTTACCCCAAGCCGTTGTTCAGGCAGCTTGGTTCCCTCTGTGTTCAGTTTGCCGACAGATTTTCTTTGCTTTTCTTTTCTGAAATTGAATGGAGGTTGGCTATGGGAGCAATATTGTTTCAATGTTATTTGCAAATTTGTGCAGAGAGTTGTGTGTCTGTATCTAGATTTTTGTGTGTGCAGTGGGATTTGAAAATGTGTGAGGAGATTTGTCTGTACGACTATCTGCAATTGTGTAAAATAACTTGTGTGTAATTGATTTGCAAATGTGTAAAAAAGTCACAAATCTGTTATCAGATTTACAAATGTGTGTTAAGATTTGTAAATGCGTACTAAGATCTACAAATGTTTAGATCAGTCTGTAAACTGAGCTAACTAAGTCACTTAAGTCTGATGAATTTTTGTTTCAAAACCCAGAAATACAGACAAATCCCTGGCTACAAGTCAAGCAGTTTCTCGGTTGGCTCTCTTTACACACGTGATTTCTGCTACACTTCTGTCAGAACCCTGTCAGAACTTCTGTCAGAACCCATAGGGGTTAACAATCTGGCAGTGAGCAGACCTTAAGGAGCGAGGATGAGAAACACTTGCAAGGCTCTACCAACCTGCTCCCACATGTCAGCAACACAGGTGAGTGACCACGATCATCGGACAGGTAGGGATGGGAATCAAAAACCGGTTCCTGTTCAGAACCGGTTCCATGTGTTCCAATTCTATGGCACCGTTTGGCAGTTCGCTTAACAGCACGAGAGCCTAGCGCTGAACAGCACGACTTACGTCACGTTTTTAAACAAGTTATGCACACGACATTCAGTAAGCAAGTACGACATAACCAGGCATGAGTCTAGAAAAGCAAAACAAAAAAAAATGGCGTCCCATTGGGTAAAGCGATCAAAAGTTTGGCTTCATCTTAAGGAAGAGAAAGATGGCAACACAGTGCTTTGCAATCATTGCAAAGTGGCAATTACATCTGCGGGAGGAAATACATCCAACATTCAGAAACTCCTGCACACACAACATGGCATACATTTTAACGAATGCCGTGTTTTTCATGCTTCCGGACAGAAGCTAAAGTTACAACCAGCATGGAAGGCAATTCTGGTGGTCAGTACCTAGTTTTATATCACTGTGCTTAATATGGTTCCCAGTAAATCATATACCATTTCCGGAAACAAACTAATTTCCTACCGCTCTTTAGGGTTATTAAACATGCTACGAAGTTGCTCCGCAGTTCAGGCAGCGAAAGAAAGGTGACGAGACGGGTAGCCTGGCTGGCTCAGAGGCTGGCAGCTCTCGTTCACTGCCTTCTGTTTCCGCCGAGGCAGGCAGAAATAGAATGTCCCAGGTGAAGGTAGACGAATGTCACCGTGCACTTACCAAGTTCATTGTTAACAGGATCTATAAGAGAATCAATACGAGAATCGAATCATTTAACAGAATCGATAAGAGAATCGGAATCGTGAAAATCTTATTAATTCCCAACCCTACTAACAGGAGATGATTAGCAGAGTGAGTCTCTCACCTGGTTTAACAGTTCAGTCCATCCTCTCAATAATAGGCAGGATCAGCCGATGCACTGCCAACGAGATGTAGCCCTGAGCCACCCAGAGTGTCCCAGATGCTGGTGCCCTGGTGTATATGCAGGAAGCCGATCCAGGACAGGGGAGAACAGATCAGGGAGGAACAGTTCAGGGATCCAGGAGTTCACGGATCGATTAGATTTTCCAACCCAAACAGGAAAGAGAGGGATCCAGGCAGACATGGGAAATGTAGAGTCAACAAGTCATCTCCATGTCATGTATTTAATCTACCCAGCCAATAAACCAGGTGAGTCCAATCTGCACAGGTTGATTCACGGTGAAGATTGGACTCACCTGCTTCAGTAGGTGGGTAAAACAAATACATGACATGGAGATGACTTGTTGACTCCACATTTCCCATCTCTGGATCCAGGCTTCAGGGAATCAGATGTGAAGGCGGGTTCGGAGTCCCGTATATCGAGCAACCAGCTCAGACAGAAGCAGACAGGCAGAATCCAGCAGGAGTCCAAAGGAGGTTCAGGCAAACAGATCAGATGGGTACACACAGGGCCAGCGGCTAAGAGGGAACAGATTCAGGAGATTAGAATTACTAGGGAAACACTGAAACGCTCTCAGCACTGGTTTTGGAATAAAAACACCTGAAGAAACTGGCTCCGGAATAATCTCCTTACTGGGACAGGGCCATTAACCGTGGACTAACTAAAACTTCTGAAAACAGAAACTAAAGACATCTAACAGGGAACAAACAAACAGCAAACAAATGATAATCTGGAACTGAACCAAATATAAAGGAACAGACGCAGGTGGATGAGATTAGTGACAACTGGAGACCAGGCAGAGTTAGACAGGAGAAAGGCATGAATCAGATGTATCTGAGGAGGCCCAGCTAGCTGCTGTTTGACCATCCTGCATGGATGACTCTTAACTTTCTCCTTCTGAATGCAGACAAAACAGAAGTTATAGTCTTTGGACCAGAGTCTCTGAAAAAGAAGCTGATTAGTCAGTCACTTCATTTGGATGGGATTAAACTGCTTTCAGATAATAAAGTAAAAAATCTTGGTGTTATTTTTGTCATTTTAATCCCATATCAAAGAGGTTTCTAGAATTTCCTTCTTCCATCTGAGCATTATAGC